CACAGACACGACTCTATTTCACTGCCATCCCTAAACAATTTTGCACTGTGTCCTCTAGTCCCTTCTATCCTCTTTCTCTATTTCTTTAATGATGTTCCTCATATTCTGGAAATTCCATCCAAAAACAGATCTGCCATTTCTATTTTATACTTGAAGTAAAACCTAATAAAAAGGTGCATCTCTTCACGAGTATTCGCGTTTCTACTTACTGTATTTGGCAGTTTTATTTGTTTCATGGTCATGTGCCCCATGCCACAACTTGCCTTGCAGAGGCTGCCTACACGCTGTTGCTCTACGACGAGCTGTTGGAATGGTCCGATCGGCCTCTGAGGGAATTCCTGAACTATCCCATGCAGACGGAGTGGCAGCGTAAGGAGTATCTCCATCTGACCATCATTCAAAATTTTGACAGGGGAAAGGTAAAGCAGTATTGTCTTGTCAACTCTACCGTGACTCTGATATATTTTAGGACAGTGGCGTGGCTTTTTTTTGCCTTTGCTAGGGCAGTGTTTGTCACTGCCTGATTAAGCAGTTACTTAAGTACTTAGCGACCTTAGTCACTACCTACTGCTTACCACCTAAGTAGTAGGTGCTTTCTAATCCCCTCTTTTTGTCCTACAAATATCGTACACTTATATCTGAGAATAATTTGCACTTACGTAGCAATTCTCTTTGTACATGTCAAAACACTAGACAAAAGATAGCACAATTTCTCCCAGCTTTAATGGTGATGAAAATTATATAAGGAAAGAAACTTATTGAATTCACAAAGTTGACTGAGTGGGGGATAAAATTCAGGTACCTTATGAGGATTATATCTATATCTGTTAAATTACATTGTATCTTTTGGCAACTGAAGTATCTTTAAAAAGGATGGTTTTTTTTTTTGCTAGGGGAAAAGGGGTATCATGTTTACAGGAGTTCTTTGTCCTCTCTAAGAAAAATAATTCTGATTTAAGCTGGAATAATTATCTCGTAGTCTAAAATTTTATACGTCCTTTGCCAATAAACAAGCGATTCATTCCAATTTTGTGTAGCTGAGTCATATATGCCTTATAAATGTAATGAAACTGATGTTATCATTAGTTTTGTCAGAAACTGCCTTATAGATTTTAAATTGTGTGGTACAATAAAATATTTTCCAATCAGAATGTTTCTATGAAAACCGAGGTTATGTTAAGAATACATTTTAAAGGTAAAGTTCGTACTCTGTTGAATCTATTTTGTATGTTGTATCAAAGGAGACGTGCATCATCATCCTTGTAGTAACTACCTTGCAGTGATAGTCCTGTTTTGTGAGAATCATTTATTAGGTCTCTAAATGTATTTTTGATCCTTCAGGGTACGCATCAGTATTAATCAGCAGCTATCAATGTGTTTAGTGGACAGTATGGTTAAGTATTTTCAGGTACTGCAAATGTTTTGTCAGTGTAGAAAGAACAGACTTTAGATCATGAATTCCTGAACAGTCGCTGTGAACTTACTGAACACCTTTTACTGACTTGCTTGCAGTGTTGGGAAAACGGCATTATTTTATGCAGGAAAATTGCTGAACAATATGAGGGCTACTATGACTACAGAAACCTCAGCAAGATGAGGGTAATGTACCTGAGTGCTTTGTCATCATTCAGACGTTCCAAACTTGCCTTTTTTTTTTTTTATCTGGATTCTGAAATATTACTTAGAAAAATAAGTTTTAGTCCTTAGATTTGGTTTTTCCACCCTTTCTTTTACTTGTATTTGTTTCCTGTAACAAAGGTTATAAAAACAGTCCGAGCTTTTTGAAGAAAAATAGAAAATGGTATTGCTATGTTTGTCCTGTACAGTACCCCTTCTGTGTGCATGCACATGCACAAGAATTTTGTGTCTGAGTTCACTTTCTTTTATTTCTCTGGTTTATCCAGGAAACATGCTCTGCACAATCCTTTCCTAGGAGCAGTGACGTGCTTTTGCAATTATAATTGCATTTATGTAGACAATTACATTGCAATTATAATTGTGAAGAAACAATTTGCAAACAAACAAAGCATGACTTTATGAGTCTTTGTTCTCTTCATTACATGAAAATGCGTTCTATTTAAAATCATCTAACAAAACCAAACATTTTCTGACACTGTCTTTCTTCTTTCTCTGTCATTTTTAGAGCTCTAAGCATTGCTGCTTTATTTCTTCCTCCTGTTATTGTATTTCAAAGAGAATCCAACCGTCTCTTGTGTTTGCCTCTATTTGATGGATTCAGTTTTATATATTACAACTGCCTTTAGTTTATTTTATTTTTCCTGCATGGAGGATGTTTGCTGTGGATACTGGCTGATCTATACTTAATCCAGAGCTGCTTAACAGCATGATGCAAAGTTCTCAGCACAGGCTACAGGGAGCAGTACTCCCTGTCAGTGATCTGCTTACTCCGGGTATATTTAGATCTCTCAGTCAATATAAGCACAAGTAAACTGACTGTTGGCCTGTGAATAAGAAAAGAGAATTTGCTTATACATGCTTAATTAATTGTACTTAACGTATTATATGTTTGAAGTAGTAAATATCTTTCTACTAGTAACATGCCACTGCTGTTAATCTGTTTTACAAAGGAAATGTGTGGAAAAGCAAAAGGGAAGGGGAGGATTTCTCATTGCAATTTAAATGTATCACTACTACCATTAGTACAAAAATGCTAACAAAGAATGTTTTGCTGAAAATTTATCACTACAAAAAGGGGACTTTGACTTTTACTTTGTGTCAGTGTTTTAAGTGAAATAAACGCAGGATGTACTGAAGAAAAATAACTTTCACATAATCACTATTGTGGGATTTCTAAAGGCACTTGAACAAATTAGACACTTCTATTCATTGGCGTCTTATGAGATCTGAATATGCAGCTCTCTCTGGATATGGTTCCATCAAAGTCTGGCTTTGCTTACTAAACTATGATATTTCTGCCACGTATTTGAATGATTAGCAGATTATTGGGTCATCTGTTTCAAGTCGCATCTGGTGTTTTTACTTCTTCCATTTATCATTAAAGAACTATGCTTATTGTCATTAATCTTTCGCCCTGCTAATGTAAGTGTTTCATAGTTAAAGTTCCTTTATAAATACTTGTGAGTTTTAAAGTCAGTAGTAGGTATGAATGTTTATTCTGAACTACTAGAGACTTGTGCTTCTTACTGGTACTCAGATTCACTGCAGTTGCAGTGGTGTGGAGCAATGTCCCTTTCTGTAACAGCTTAAAGTAAAAATAAGTTTTGAAATTATTTGCATTTCTTCTCAATCTTACCCAGATGATGGAAGCCTCTTTGTATGATAAAATTATGGATCAACAGCGTTTGGAACCAGAGTTCTTCAGAGTTGGATTTTATGGGAAAAAGTTTCCATTTTTCTTGAGAGTGAGTGATTTGAATCTAAACATATTGGAATAATTTTGCACTTCACATTATCATTTGTTATCATTCTACCTACTTGAGAATTTGATTATACCATATACAAGCTCTTCTCAGATGAGACATGGGAAATTTATTGTGGTAACTAATCAAATCTAGTTCTGTTTTCAGGGTGGAGGAGAAAGTGGCTTTCCTGAATAATGGAGGAATAATGGAGAAAAAGGTGTAGACTTCATAAACATAAGATTCATGTTAGTCCTGGAAATGCTGCACCTACACCAAACCACCATCTTTCAGTGGTAGCTTGTTCCCCTTGTCCTGTTTTGTTTCTGCTGGTGGCTGCTCAGAAGACAGTTGTCCCTTTAGCAATAGGACAGGCAGAAATTCAGGCAAATAAGGTTCCCAAGTTTTAAAAACTGTTTAAAAACAGTTTAAAAATCAACACGCAGAGTTTCATCAATTGTCAGTGTACTTAATACTTTTAAAAATAATTTTTAAAAAGTGATTGGAAAATGTTGACTAGAAATAATTTCATATTTAGGATCCTAAAAAATTGTCAGCTGATGCAATAAAAGTGTTAGATAAAGTCTACACAGTAGTGCACTATTTAGCAACCTCTAAGTGTTTCACTATTTATGCCTCAGGAAATATATATGCACTTTCCTAGTAGGTTCATAGTACATAGCACTCCTAATGAACAGTTATGTCTGCAGCACAAAGATTCCCCCAAAACTTACTGAATATGACTAATTTTTTTCTTTTTTTTCTGTGGAAGGCAACTTATTATTCTTTTAAAGAACTTACCTGTGTTTGCTACAGAAGCAGTGCCACTTTTGCAGAAGGAAGCTTTCAAAATGTACTTTGTAGTTGTGTAACAGGAGAGTTGCAGGTGATTTCTTAGAGCAGTTCCCATGAAAGTCCAGGTGCGCAGAGGGCAATGCTGCTTCTCTCTGTTGTTAAGATACTCTAAGGACAACTGCTGTTTCTTTCTAAACCTGCTTCAGAAAGAAGGCATCAGTAATGGCTTTTTAGAATTTTCTAAAATATATACATTTAACTATTTTTTGAAATGATTGGTTGTTTTTTCTCTTCATATTTTTATTAAAGAAAAGCATAACCATTTGATTTTTCCAGCGATTTTTGAATGAAATATATTTCAAATGATAGAATTTCCTTTTTCTTCTAACTGACCTTTTTTTCTTTTTTTAGATTTCTTTTCATCCTTGCCTTTTTTTCTTACTTTTTCCCTTTAATGAGAATTACTCAGAAAGTCTTCATTTAAGTGCATGCCTTTGAATCTAATTAATGACCCCCAATTATTTTCACATAACTTGCTCTCTCTTTTTTTCCCCCCCAGAATAAGGAGTTTGTTTGCCGAGGACATGACTACGAGAGGCTGGAGGCCTTCCAGCAGCGCATGTTGAATGAGTTCCCACACGCCATTGCTATGCAACATGCTAATCAGCCCGACGAGACCATCTTTCAGGCAGAAGCACAATGTATCCACATAATCACAAAGCCCAGCTCTGTGGTTGCCTTTCCTGCTTCAGAAAGCCTAGGTTCTGAAAGCCTGGTACTGTAGCCAGTATCACTCACAATGTGCCGCCGTTGGAATACGTAGTAGGGCAGAATTTCCCCATCATTTGTCCCAGACACTCAGTTTGGTTTGGATTTTTTTGTATGTAATTGTTTTATTTAAAAATTCCCTGGTAGATTATTAAGATTCTTACTTTAAACAAAATTACTTGCAGAACTATGACAGCTATGATAATAGTGTGTCAGATCAATTACAATATTTCGAATTCCTAAAATATAATATAATGTTAGTGTAACGTTCTTACTGCTAAAGTATATTTCATTCAATCTTTTATTTCATGTATAATCCCATTGAAATAGTTTTTTTCAAAAATAAATATAATTTTTTCAACCAAACAGTACAAAGAAATCCTAGCTCATCAAAAATCTGTTTCCCAGTTTCCTTTCCTGAGCTATTAATAGTTTAGGAGATTTTAATGATGGATTCCTTTTAAAGAGGTTTTTATTCTGCCATGCCTCAGGAGTGTGTATGCTTTGCTAGTTTGAATGAGGTGGGTAGCCTTAACTCTTTACGTGTAGATTTGCAGATTTATGCAGTGACACCAATTCCTGAAAACCAGGAAGTCCTGCAGAGAGATGGCATTCCAGATAACATCAAGAGCTTCTACAAAGTGAATCATATTTGGAGATTCCGATACGACAGGCCATTTCACAAAGGCACCAAGGACAAGGAGAATGAGTTCAAGGTAAAGTCACCACACGCTTTCCTAAACTGCTGGACTTAAGGGCTTATTTGTAACTTCACTTACTTCACTACACTTGTTATTTAGATAGGTAGAGTATAACAAATTTGTGACAAAGTTGTGTTATTTAGCTAGGTAGAGTATAACAAATTTGTGACAAATAGGCCAGGCTCAACTATTTTACTTCTCATTGTAATTAAAGTAGTAAGGAAAATACACAGGAGACAGGAAAGCCTTTTCCTATGGAAATAGGAGATGTACATGCTAGTTTTTGCATCGACTGTCTATAGAAGGCAGAAGAGCTTAGAGAGAGCAGAAGAGCCTTCAGAAAAGTTGCTAAAGTGGCTGACACAGAACTGCTGAGGAAGTAACATGGGGTGTAGATACAATAGTCCAAGATTATCTCTCCCTAGAGTGAGGGAGAGGCGGTTTTGACTGAACTACAGCATACTGTTCTGTTGCTGTGGCATCCAGACCACAAGTTGCTTCTGACCTTGGACTTGGTCTCAGAGTAAAGCAGTAATTCCTCCCTAGTGCATAAATGACTTACATTTCTCCTAATAAAACTGAAAATTCATCTTACATTTTTAATGTATAGTTCTAATTCTGATACACTACATACATGCATGCAGATAATCAAAGATATTTCTTCATTGACCACATACAGTTTGAAAGACCTGTTATATATCCTGGTATTCAGACACATGAAGTTAATTATCCCATAGATACTATTATTATAAAGCAAAAGATAAATATAACAAATTAGCTTAATTAAATCACTACTGTCCCCCAATTAAAGCTTTATAAGATCTAAAATGCGTATTGAGTGAAACTTTATTCTCACTTAAAGTAATGTTGGTATATTTTTACAGACCTCTTGCTAGTGCAGTGTTTGCTATTATTACATTTAAGTATCACATCAGACGTTCATTTTGGAGTGTCAAAATACCTTCACGCTGGAGAGCTGGTCTCTTGCTGCCCTTAAGCTGCTCCTCTGCTTCTTAACTCCCTATTCTCTATTATTATCTTCAGATGCAAATAAGAAAAGCTGATTTAGTTGCGAGTGACTTCTGGAGATGAGGGGACAATATATAGTATAGAATAATACCACATTAAAAAGGACAGCAGAAATGGCAAAAATTAAAGCTTAGTAGTAAGTAAGTCCTAGAAAGTAAGGGCGAAAAAATGAATGTCTTCTAGGATAGACATTTTAATAGCTATTTGGATTTTTTTTGTATGTGTGCTGTTAGTTAAATAAAGACATTCACAAAGAAATCTGGGAATAATTAAGAAAATTATACAGATAAATTAAGATATCAGCAAGCACTTAGTCCTCTCCTTCTAAAAGAGAAATTTGGAAAAAAAAAATTTTTTTTGTATTATAGAGTCTGTGGGTGGAGAGAACTACCTTGATCTTGGTGCAGAGTTTACCGGGAATATCTCGTTGGTTTGAAGTGGAAAAACGTGAAGTAGTGAGTATAAGATCTTTGAAATGAATTGATTGCAATAAGCATTGCGTTTTGATTTGCTTCCTTTTCCATATGTTATCCGAGAAAGACTAAGATTTATTACCCCTACCTAGTTTCTTTGAGCAGATTTTTAAACTGGCTACCTCTAGGCTATTTACAAAACATTTTGAGTTATCTAATTTCTGTTAACTAGAAAAAAACCATGATCAAGTAGACACCATTATGATTCATATAAACAGCTGAAGATAAAAAGTTAAGAACCATAATGTGCAGTCAGAATGCGGCCAAAGGCAACACTTACTGCCAACAACTCGCTTTCTTAAAACTTAAGAACTCTAACATTTAATACTTAGAACATAGAGGTATTCTAAATTTAACATAGATTTCAGTATTCTCAATAAGGAAGCCCTCTCCAAGCTTGGCTACTATAATAAGCTCCGTGTGGGAATCTGTGTGTTTGCCTGGAGCTCTGCTGGTTCCCTGCATGGGCCCAGAGAGAGCAGCCCACGCGGAGCTTGCCGGCGTGGGGCCCAACACAGCAATCTGCTGCTGACACGTTGTAATTTTTCCCTGTTCCTTTTTGTTACTTCCTTAGAAAGCTCTTGAATATTTCTGAAATGCTCTCTGAGGAGCATTCCTATCTAGTGAGCTCTTAATAATTGGTCAAGTTTTGAGCCCAGTAATACAACATACGTAGCTATTCTGCTTCCTGACAGAACTGTAGTAGTGTTCTGCTATAGAGTATTCTATAGTCTGCTATAGAGTAATCTGCTACAGAGGCTGAGCAATCTCTCGAGGTCAGATAATTCAAAAGGAAAGGGACGTTATTTCTTTTGCTCTCTGATTATATGATAAGACTAATCAGATTATGTGACAAAATCTATTCCCTGATGTTTTAGAGTGTAGCCCAAGTGAAAAACCATTTTCTGCCGTAATATTTTAGAACCTAGGATAACTTACTTTCTTTAAAAAAAAAAAATCAATAAAACTGCCTTTAATAAATCTTGTAATTTAACTGAAGATTAAACATGTTTGCAATGCTCCTTACTCCCCTTTCAGGTAGAAATGAGTCCTCTTGAGAATGCTATTGAAGTCTTAGAAAATAAGAACCAGCAGCTGAGGACACTGATTAGTCAATGTCAAACTCGACAGATGCAAAATATTAACCCTCTCACAATGTGTCTAAATGGAGTAATTGATGCAGCAGTTAATGGTGGAGTTGCTAGATACCAAGAGGTAAGAAATTTATTTAGAATACATTTATTAAAATCTATTTTAAAGTCTCTGATTCTTTCTTTGTACAGAACATGCTATGTGAATTGAGGACACGCTACTACATCAGTAATATTCTTAATGATACATTATTTCCTTTACTGCAGTATTGTGTGAGGTCATGTTAAATATGTTTATTATTAAAGCTGTTCTGCCACAGATTTTATAATAAGATTACTCAAATGAGAAGCGTATCGATGTATTGACAGTTTCCTTTACCTTTATTGGACAGTGATTTATTTTTTTTCTGTGAAATCTTACAACAACATAATTACAATTATCTTTATTTTCCCCTCCCTGCCTCCTTTTTATTTTAACATTTCTTCAGTTTCTTTTTAGGCCAGAAGATCGCTCTGGCTAAGCAGCCATTTCCTATTGTGCGCTGACATTCTAGGAGATTTAATTCTTAACACAATTAATTCTTAACACAAAGGGGTTATCTCATAGAATCATTCTTACAAATCTTCTTTTTGTTTCTTTCTTCTCCAAGATTTTTGAGTAAAGCTGTTTGCTGGAAAAGTCTAGCGAGAATTAATGCGTATAATTAAGAAATATCTAGTCTTCCATCCCCAATGCTAAGCTTGTGCTGAAAAGTTATTGCTGATTATTGTAATCTTTGAATCACTCTAAAAATAGCTTGCATATTTGGGGTGCTCTGTTTCCACAAAGTAATTTTGATACAGTAAAAAGAGGAGTATTTTTTTTTGCTAGCCCAGCTTGCTGTCCTTGAGCCTGGTTGTTGCTTTTCCATTGAAATTTAAGTGAAGTTGAATAAAGTTGTGTCCAATGTCTCAAAGGTAAAATTCATTGCAAGATTCAGCGTTTGCTCTACAGTGTTAAATTTGATAGAACTTCATCTAAATTAAACTACAGACCGTCGGGTCTGCTGTGGTAGTGGGGTCTCTGTCGGCAATGTGGCAGCCATATGAAAGCTGTGGGACATGGGCCGAGCTCTGACGTGTTTGATGCTTCCCGGCTGCCTTTACACGAGAGCAGCAAAGCGGCTTTGCAGGAGGGTGCCCCAAAGGCCTCCCCGGAGCAGCGTGGTCAGGTCAGAGCTGGCTCTGCTGGAGTTACGCACGTCTCGGTGTGCTCGGGCCTCTGCTCTTCACAAGTGAATCAAAGGTTGTTGCGCGCTCCTCTCATTCTGCTGCTCTCTGCTGCAATTCTGGATCTCTCTTTAAAGTTCTTTTATTTCCCTCCTGTTCCTTTTGCCTTTGTGTGTTTTTGTCTAGAAACATTTATGTCCTGTTCTGTGTTGTAAGCATCAAATTCATACCAATAGCTGTGAGTTACCTTTTTTATTTTATTTTTTTTCTATTTCAGCTTCATTCTCTTCGCATGTCCTCTTTTCAGTCTCCTGAAATAGAGAGTTTTATTATCTCCTTTCTTATCTCCTTTCTTCCTGCCATGTGTTCCTTTTCTCTGCAAGTGCTTCTCTTTACCCCTCTGTTTCACTTGCTTTAGCCTTCTGTCCCGTACAAAGCTGAGAACTCCATCAGCTTGTGCTCTGAGGTAAGCATGACCATGTCTCTAGTGATACCCTCCTTCCCTTCCCATAGCTTCTCAACTTGAAGTGTAATACTCAGCAAACACATTTTTTGGCCAACTACTGCCTTCGTGAGTCCCTCCTTTTTTTTTTTCCTTTTATTTTTTCTTCTTTTTTTCCCCCTCCTCCTGCTTGGATAAAAAGCAATCATCTCCAGCTATCCATCCCTTTTGCTGATATTGCAGGTGCTACTGCAGCTGTGTCTTCCTCAGGTTTCAGTACAAGAGCAGATCCCAAGACCTAGAGACATGATGGTTATCATGCAGTACCTATATGTATGCTAAAAATGCTAATAGGTTGAGCCAATGACTTTATCTGAACACTGCTGGAAAATCAGGAATCATTCTTTGTGCCCATGAGCACCCCTCACGCTGTCATTTCTGCTATAGAATATACTTCTTTCAGCATTTTTACATCTCTGAGTCATATTATAGATCTGTATAATTCTCAGCTGAAAACTACTGGTGTGCCACCTGCTTGGTACTGAAAGAACACTAAGCTTGTAGAGGAAAAAAACACCAGTTGGAGAAATTCGGGATTTTAGCGAAATATCAGAGGGCTCCTTCTTAGTGTTTGAACATGAAGTCTTGTAAGTCTATTGATCTAAACTAGATGAAATATTAGACTAGATGAAATAAGTGTTTTTCACTGCAGAGTTGGGAGCTGAATCATGATATACTTATCTCCAGATCCCCTCCTACCTCTTATTTACAAGTGATTACGTGTGGCAAAGATTTAGCAGGTGAAGATGGATGAAGGATCTTGTAAGAGGTGTTTGAGAGAAACACTAAGGCAAGTGGAAAGCACAGCACAAAGTAACCGGTGTTACCCCTTCAGCTGTATGGGTATAAAACGATGTCTAAGTACAAGTAGCTGTCTACAAGAGAACTCTTGTGACAAATGCAGTCTGAGAAAGTTTGGAGTTTTCTTCACAAAATCAAGTCAAGAAATGCTGTAAATGTTCTTGCATGGTAAGATAGATGACATGGTAAGAAAGATGTGGCCATGAACAAAAAGGGGATTGCTGTATCCAGGCCATTGCTGGAGGGTAAAATGCCCCAGGATGTTATGGCTGATACAATTTGAGCATTGGAGACAGGATGGAAAGACAAGTGTGCTCATGGACACTCCTGGGATGTATGGCTTTTTGAAAGCAATGTCATTAAGAATTATTTAAAACATCGTTTATGTTAACAGTGAGTAAGAAAATACTGTTATACTTCTAATACATTAGCTTAAAATTCCACATAGTTCTTAAGATGTCCTTGTATCCAGTATAAACTAAAGGATAATGGAGCGTCTAATAGGAAAAGGCAGGAAAAATCTAGCTCTGTGTAATTATTGAAACGCCTGCACTACAGTTAACGGAGAAGAGGTTTTTCATTCAGGTGACCTTTGAGTTCTTTCGTCTCTGATTTGCAAGTTTCCAGATTGGATTCAGGATCTGTCCTGAATGTTAAACTATTGGCGAATTCCTCTTCAAGAATGGTTCCACTTTAGTTGCCTGTACTCTCCAACAGGGTGGAGGTGAATAATTAATTTTTACATGTTTTAATATCTTCTGCTGCAATAGAAAGTAGTAGGTGCTTTTGTTTTGAAAATAGCATTTTAAAAATTGTGTGATGTATTTTAATTCACTTTATGTGATTTATATAATGTTATTGTTTCCTGCATAGGCATTCTTTATCAAAGAGTACATCTTGAACCATCCAGAGGATGGAGAGAAGATCACGCGCTTGAGGGAGCTGATGCTTGAGCAGGTAGAGTCAGGGAAAAAAAAGACTGAGTAGGTGCCCTGATCACCTGTCCTAGCTCTGGCTGACGTGGCTCAAAATAAAACACAAAACCTGAAAGGATAATTCCCCAGTGGTCTTCACTCTGCCAGATAGGTGATAACTTCCTATGTAAGCTGGAAACCTGCTTATGTTCTACATGTTCCTTTTCATCATAGTTGACGGTAACTTCAAACTGATATAAATTGATCAGGAGGCAAGGTTTTGCCTTATGTTGACAACTACTTGTACAGCATATTTTACCAGCTACTGTAAAATATACATTATTTTTCAAAAATGTTTAGCATAATTTAAAACAAACAAACAAAAAAACCCCCAAAAACATATCTTAATGCAGTAGAAAAAATGTTAATGCCTACATATACCAGCAACTATTGTTAGAAATTAAGTGAAGAACAGTTGTGTTCTATGCTTTATATGATTTTTGTGTTGTTTTATTTTTTTCTGTTTACCATAGTCATAACATTTTGAACATTTCCTGTAGAATTTGCTAAATAAAATGGAAATGAAAAATAAATGAACTGCATAGATTTTGATGGATCTAAGTGAAATATAGGTCCTAGGAATGTTTTTATTGCAGTACAACCAATATATTTTTATTTGGTTTTGATTTTCCTGTGTTTCACCAAAACTAAATATAAAAGGGTCTCCAAGGATTGGTTTGGTTAAGTAACAAGCTAAATGACTAAATTGAAAGTAGTCAGCTGAGGGTAAAAGACTCCTTCAAACCAAGTATTTTCTAAGTGAAATTAAAGGAGAATATTTTGAATTTTACTTCGGGAAAACTCAAAGTGGAAGGTTTTTCTCCCCTCCACCTGGAAAATGTCAGGCCACAGAGACAAGAACAATGTCATTCAGTCACAGGGCAGGGGCTACAGAAGAGAATGGGAAGAACACAACAACTCAAATCAACAGCAGCTCAAAAGGAAGCAGAGATTACTGATGATGCAACCAGAAATATGATTGTTTACATCTAGGTCTACCAGCACCAGTTCTCAAGTGTCTGCATTTGGAAATGATGAAATAACTTATTTTGACCAAATAGGTGTGCTGAAATATTTTAGCATTTATTAAAAGACATTTACCTGCCTTTGTTCTATGCAGCGTGCTGAAATTTCAAACTCTACACTATCTACTAGGTACTGTGGTTAGAATATTGTTTTTTGGCAAGGTAAAATTCGATTTTTCATCAGTGTTGTGATAGCTTTTGGTCAGATCAGCTGAAGGGACAGATCACCTGCAAGTTTAAATCATAATGGGTTCACTGATTTCTTTCATTTATATAATGTGTGGTAGCCTACACCTTAGTTGCAGTTTTTCAAGCTATAGCTCATCACACTAATACTTGCAATTTAAAAATGGAATTAGTAACTTTCCATAATAAAATTTGAATTGCAAGCAATATCAGCTAAACTGTCTGGTGATGGAATAGAAAGTGCAAAACATTCAAAAGGGTCAGGATCAGCGTGTGGATGCAAACACTTATCTAAAGGCAGTGATGGTGTACAGATGTATGCCCACTGAGAATCTGATTCAAAATATCAGCTACATGTTCTCATCCAAAGATATTACAACACAGTGCAACTATTTTGTTTTTAAATTCAGCTTTATCTGACTCATCACTTAACCAATTCAGTATTTTAAGCGTGGATGACCAAATTTGTGCAGGATCTGATTTTTAGCAAATGAAAAGTTTCAGCGATGTTATTCTGAACAGCAATGAACAGCAGAATTTCAGCGGTGGTATTCTGTTATTCTATTGGGCCTAACAATGAGGATACACATAAAATCACCACTTTATGAAGTCACTATAGACTCGAAATACAGCAGGGAACAATGGACATCATTGGAAATATATTCCAAGGTCTCTGGCACATGTGTATTGTACTCATATTTTATGTTTTATGTAATTTATGTTTTCATAGAAAAATCAGGGCTTAGAACTGCTAGTTAGTACAGTTAGCATGTAGCCAGATTTCTGCTACATGGTCCATAATGGTTTCTATGTTAGAGCTGAATTGAAATATGCTATATCCTTCAGAAAGTCAAATAGTAGAAAGGGGAAAAGCTTAATCCTTGCCTGTGTCATTGGTTTTAGTCTTAGGCCTAGTTTGTTCACAGATCTTTCAGGCATTTAAATGGTGGTTTTAATATCTATGGGATTTTTTTGATTAATGCCATAATTATTAATTGGTGAAACTGAGAATGAAACTATGAAGAGAACAAATCACATATTTTTCCCTGTCTTTTCTCCTGTCTTGTGTGTAGGCTCAGATTCTAGAATTTGGCCTCGCAGTGCATGAGAAGTTTGTGCCTCAGGATATGAGGCCGTTGCACAAAAAACTAGTGGATCAGTTCTTCGTGATGAAGTCAAGTTTGGGAATACAGGTACGTGAGCAGGTGCACTGATGGGCTGGGAGACCGTTTCTGCGGCCAAGGCGGTTATTTTCCCTACGCAGCAAACAGTGACATCTTTTGGTTGTTTGTCCACATTACGTCTTGGTGGTGTTCTTAGAGTATCACAAAGCATCATCAGGGAAGTATCATCAGTCTAAAAATTGTTATTTTTTAAAACTTAAGGTGAACCTGGTTTAAAACGCAGATACACCTATTCAACTGGGCATGTAGGTCTCACAAAGGGCTTAATGATGTTATGTTCATTTTAACTAATCTTCTTTTAACCGTTTGCCAGGAATTTTCTGCCTGTGTACAAGCCAGCCCCATTCATTTCCCAAATGGAAGCCCTCGCGTATGCCGAAATTCAGTACCTGTTTCTATGAGCCCTGATGGTGCCAGGGTAATACCTCGACGCAGGCAAGTTAAATTGCTAGAAATTGATAGGTTTTGTCACTTGTGGAAGATGGCCCCAAAGTTATGGTTGTGTGTGTGCTTGCTGCTGAGCCTGAACTGTCTTCAGGCATGAGTAAATGATACATATAATCAGTTCCTCCCCCCTCCACTTAACTCCATAATTTAATTTGAATTTTTTATTAAACGTGCTGTTTTCTTGCCATACCTGATTAATAAATCATGACTGGCAACTGCCATGAGCTATTTTCTGTTTCATTATTCCTATGGCAGTCCCTTGAGCTACCCCGCTGTCAATCGGTATTCATCCTCCTCGCTGTCCTCCCAAGCCTCTGCTGAAGTCAGCAATATCACCGGGCAATCGGAAAGCTCTGACGAAGTTTTTAACATGCAGGTACAAATTATTGTTCTTCACTTAAAACAAGCTAAAATGAGTGTTTATTACAAAGCTTGTTGCTAAGTTAATACTTCTGTTCATTATTCCAGTTAGAATTCTAAAAGCTCCTGCTGACTAGGAGTTCACCTCCCTCCTTTCCTTACAAAGAAAAGCTTTCTTTGTAACTCGTTCTTCCAAACTGAGACTGTGAATTTATGACCAAAGTAATAAGCAATGCAATTTGGTGCAACATCATCACCATATTTAGCCTTTTTTTTTCCAGTTGTCACAGTTGTGATGTAATCATTTTAATATATTAATTATATTCCTGTTTATTTGATGTTATACTTAGTCTTTATGTGTAGATATATTAAGGCTTCTTATACTAATATGCTACTTTGCGATACAAACATATTAGTCTAACAAATTGCGAGTTCTTTGTTTTAGTGAAGCACATAGTAGAAATCTAAGTTTTCCAAACTGGTATGTGTGATGTGGTAACAGCAGCATCTCTTCTGTGTGCAGCCTAGTCCGTCTACCTCAAGTTTGAGTTCTGCTCACTCTGCTTCACCCAATGTGACCAGCTCTGCTCCATCCAGTGCCAGAGGTCAGTGCTTGTCCTCTCTGATAAACCAGATTAAATGCTGCTTGAAAGTTCATTCAGAGCTGAATCTCTAAATTTCTGCACACTATTACTGGTACAACATCAAATTCAACTGATTGAGGAATGTGATAGATACATTGACAGTAGACAATGTTTGCTATAAACTTCCTTACGCAACTGAAATGTCTGAATTTCACTGCATAAATTTAATTACCCGCTACACTTCTCTTGCAGCCTCGCCTCTGTTGTCTGACAAACACAAGCATTCCCGAGAAAACTCCTGCCTGTCCCCCAGGGAGAGGCCCTGCAGTGCCATCTACCCAACTCCTTCCGAAGCCTCGCAGGTAGGAAGCTTGCAGGGGGGACTCTTAAATCCAGTAGTTAATGGAAAGGAGCTTGTTGAACTCTGAGCAGACTCAGTGTTTGCTCACTGCTGTTAATTTTGGCTTGGTGTGCCTTGAAACATTCAATACTGCACATACTGTCAGGGAAAAAAGGAAAGGTGATAAGCATGTTTAAGGGAAATACCTATTGATAAGTACCTTGTCTGTTAAATATTTGACAACCACAGAAAGGAACATGAATAGAATGCACAGAACTTTAAATATATCACATTTCTGCTTGCTTTGTCTAAGTTATAACCTAGTTTTGATACATATGCATTGAAGTGTTTGATATTTATTCATTGAAGTGACGGACACAGAAGGCCTATCATGTGGTCGTCTTGCCTGAAATATTAGTCTAGAAGATGGGAAAGCTGCCATTGCAGTGGTTGTGCATGTTCACCTGTAACTTCCCGTGAAACGTCTAAGTCTAGCCACTGTCAGTTAGTAATGCAAGCCACGTGGCAATTCCTGTTTTACAATGTGATTTCAGAAGAAGGAAGACTGATGTTTTTGTCACCCTGGAGGAAAGAATAGGAGTTGAATTCTTGCCCTAAAAGTACCGTTGCATAAGTCCATGTATAAAATCTCTATCCTTTGAATTATTTGAAATGCAAAATGAGTTTGATGAGGCTGACAGTTTTGAATCCTAACTTCATCTCTTCTTTCTAATGGGCCTACTTTTCTGCAGTGCTTTCCTGTAACATAACTGCTGTTTCAGTCCATTTCATCATGCAGAGTAGCTCTTGTTGAAGCAGAGAGAGACAAACACAAGTAGTACTGGTAGGGCCCTCTTTTCAACACCAACTCTCATTTTCACTAGAAGTTTGGCCTCTGATAACATACCGCTTAGTAATTCAGGATCCTTTGTTTTAGAAACAATTTGTTGCTTTCTCTTTAAAGGTATTTCTGTCTCATGTTTCTTCAGTTATTGAGTTGATTCTTGATTTATTTTTTTCTTCTTTTCTGTATAAGTTCTCATGCCTGAGGGCTTAGGAACTAATATTAAAGGCCTGACTGTAACAGCAGTTCTTAGGAACTACTTACTGATATGGGGCACTTTCTCAGTGGTAGGAGAGCCAAACCAGCATAGAAGAAAGACCAGGAGATGTTCATTATAAAAAGCGGTTTTACAGCTTGCCGCAAAGAAAAATTGTCCCATTTTTGCTCCCAGACTGCAAACTCTTGCTTTGCCAAGTGGAATGCGACTTCTCTCCCCCACTCTACCAGAGATCCTATAAGGGAGGCTGAGGAGCCCGTAGGCCCAGTCTCCGGTCTCTCAGAGACTCGCCTGGCAGCAAAATCTCCCAATCTGTCTCTACCCTCAGTGTCCCAAGAGAGGGTAAGTAGAAAATTAACTTTCTCCTACAAAGTAGTATGTTTCAAAAGTGAGAAGGTTTGGCGATTTCTTTTTGCCTCATAACCATAAACGAGGATAAATCTTTCCAGGGAAATACAGAATTTCCTCCTGAGGTGCTCTGTTCCCTGGCAGCAAGGATGGTGATCAAAGGGTTCTCTGCCTGATGAGCAAGAGAGAAGAAAACAAACAAACAAAAAATGTCCTCTGGAGAATAGTAAGGTAGTAAGGAAATATCTTAGAGATACCTGCAACTCACTGGAATTTAGGTGCTCAAACTGTTCTTTGCTCTTTCTATTTTTATTCTAAAAAGAGTTAACTTTCACAATCTGGCTGGAGCTCCATACAGTGCTAATGAGGAAAGGGCACTCATTTCTGAATGTCTTTGTGATGGCGTAATGAATGAATGTTTCACAATTGTTTTCAACCTGGAAGCCTGAGCTGCAGAGGGAATTCCTGCACTTCAAGTCCCAATCAAGTCCTTTCAGGCCATAGCTACCTCATTTAAAGAAGTTTGAAGGGCTGCGTAGAACCCAGACCACAGCACTGCTGCACCTGGTCCCCTCTTTGAAATTGCTGCTCAAGGTTATATGTGTACAGCTGCATTTGGACAACAACATCTTTTTGTGCTTGCTTTTTGATCTCTGGCTGAGCAATTGTGCCGTGTCTCTCTAGCTCTTTCCCATACGCGGAGGATGAATGGCTGTTGTTGTTGACTGGCTAAAAAGCCTCATTAGTTTTTGCTCCATTCTTTTTCCTAATTGAGTTTTTTGGCTTTCACAACTTTAGAGGTTTCTGCTCCTCATTGAACATTCTGTGATTGTTCTTCCATCTGGCTCTATATTTCTTTGTTTCAGTATGTCTTCATTTCTCTGTATTTCATGCAACTCCTGCATCTTTATCTCCACCATTCTGAGTAGCTTTCTCAGTCACCGCTCTTTACCTTCACAACAAAAAAACAGACTTCAGTCAAACAGTGGTTTTAAACTTGCCAACTATCACCCAGTACGCTGCTGTTCGCTATACTGTGAACTTTTGATCCAGACCAGGCATGAGCATGTGATTGTATTTTCTAACACATCAGCATGTACGTACTGTTTACACCAACCTTGTTTTATGGTAAATCCAGGAGAACAGGTGTTACCTGATGCAGTGTGACTGTAGGACAGCGCAGACAGGCAAATGTAGTGTTGCTTAAAGTCAGCCAAGGCATTGCCCTACCAGATGTTTTTGAGTCAAGTTGAATTGGCCAAGTATTTATTCCTCATTTTAACTTGGGGTAGACACATGTTAGGTCCACGACAGATGCCCTTTAATTAGGGTCCTCACCCTGTGTTTATCTTCTAAGGCTACTGCCAAGAACAGTCAGAGCTGAGAAAAATACAAATTTTCTAAGGTAACAGCTGTAACTTGATATTATCAAAAGTTACATATTGCACAAATTCTGATTCTACAGGGAAGTTTTTGCAAATCTCTCCCTTGCTCAGCACTCCATCAAGTCAGCCCAGTCAAATTTTACTCAAGAAATGGGCATTATTTTATCATTCAGGGAGCAGTTGCCAGGATTCAGTATATAATAATCTTCCCAATAATTCCAGGATGTACAGTTTTCAGAAAATTAGTCCACTTACCATTTATATATGGATATTTCATTAAAATATTTGTTTTCAGGTGAGGTTTATCACTACCTCAGATTAGATGTGCGGGAGGAGGGCAGGGTGGTTAATAACAAAAATGTAACAGTTTTCTCAAAGGCCCCTGAAAACTGTAGTCATGCATAAGCCCTACCGTTTTCGATTCCCAGAGAATGCTGTTTAATCACATTGGAGATGGTGCCCTGCCACGAAGCGATTCCAACTTGTCTGGCCCTGACAAGGGTAAGTAGAAATGCTGCACTTTACCAGCCTTCAAATCAATGAAAACATAATTCATGTGTGATGTTATTGGAAAACGCCAAGTCCAAAGTACTTCTCATCTGTAAGTTTTAAAAGACTTCACCAGGAAGGGAGGACAGAAAGGAGTACCCGCTCGAATGAGGCAGCCGTTCAAAATGGTCCAGTTTGCAGGAAGCCTCTGGGTGACCGGTGCCAGCCGCTGCCTGTGGGAAGGATCCCCTCGCTGTCTGCCTCAGGAGAGAGGAGGATTCGGGAAGGGAGATGAACCCTGGAGATGATAAACTTTGGGAGATTTGGCGGGGAAGTTTAGTACCTTCAGTTCCTCTTTAGACAGACAAACTGTCATACTTTTGGTTGCCCTTCAGAAGATTTTTTTTTTTCCCCTCAGACTAGATGGAAACCTATTAATTTTCCTTAAAATATACTGGTTATAATTTTACAAATGGGAAAATCCATTATTGTTGGCACAACTGTTGCTTCAGACCAGTAACGTTTTCCACTCCGCTCCTTTCATTATGTGCTACCCTGTGTTGCAACCTGGATAAAGGATATGATGAAACAGATGTATTGAAACAAACATTTCAAGAAAAAAAATATAAAATATATATCTATTTGCTTTCAAGTTTTGTTGCAAACTCAAGCGTGGGATTTTTCACATGGCTGAGAAACACTTGAAATAATTTAATATGTAAGTGTCAAAACTTTTCCACTGGTCTGTGCAGCTAAGAACATTAGAGAATAGTTAAAATAAAATGGTCCCTTCTGGGGGCTTAAGCATCGGAAGAACTGAGTGCTTGCATAGCTTAAAAAAAAATTGTCAAAGATTCAGGAATTTGTAGGACTTACGCTTGGTGCCAAATCATTTGTAGGATGAGGGTAAAACCACACTGCTAGGTGACAGACTAGAGTAAAAAGCAAACACTATTTAGCATATTTCGGCAATTAAAAGGCAAAGTGATCTACTATAAAATAGAATTGGTACTTGGTGTGCTATTCATGAAGTCAAATAATGTACGATTATACTGTAGCAATGCAGCACAAATACTATTTGTACCGTACTTCTCGCATTAAGTCTCTGGTATGAGCTAGCGCAGTGGGATTTGGGTGCTTTTGCAAGCCGTTAGTGTTGCTACAACAGCAGTTATTGGGGACATCCCTTGGCAGTCAGCAACGGAGCTTGGCTTTTTACTCCGTTTTGCAAGTGAGCACGGGCTCCTCGCGCGTGGTTTTCTGCGCGCTGCTGGGGAGGAGGCGCACAAGAAGCAAACTGCCATGGCATGGTACAGGCTCCTGTTAGTCGCTGAAAGCACTTAAAACCCTCACTCTCCCATGAAGTTTGAAGACAGTCTATGAATTCTTCACTGCTGGGTTTTTGTTCTGTTCTTAGAAGTAGGTGCTTCCCTGCTTGCGGGGCGTGTATAGGGAAAACTGCATGTTTTAAATTAGCTTTTGTTCTGCCTGTGTTAAACGTTTTGTCTTTCCATCTGCCTTTCTGCAGGCACCAGGGCTCTGTAATAATACAAAGTATTCTGGTTATATTATGGGAGCTATTCTAGGCCAAATGGGAAGTCCTGGAATTTGGCAAAAGTAAGGCAGATAAATAAAGTGGACAATTTTATACAGGTCAAAGTGCTAGTCAATCTACATGTCGAAGTATAGATTCTGGATGATGGACACAAACGAGGTATATGAGCTGTCTTAGTCCTAAGGAATTTCTCAGTTTTAATTTTCTCCAATATTTTTTTTTCTTCCTTTTCATCCTCCCTTCCATTTTGTGCCCTTCCTTCTACCTATTTTTTCCATTCTGAGCTTATAGCCTGTGCTGCAACAAAAGACTGTTAATACTGCGAGTTTTCAGAGGGATGTCAATTGAAATCGTGCGACTCTTTCTAGTGCCTTGCACATGCAGAATGATTTAATGGAAATTGTTCATGAATAGTCTGTTCCCTTCTGCCTAGACACCTTTAAATAGGAGTCTGCTGGAAAGATAAGCTTGAAGCCTGTTAATGTAATCAGTTTATCTGCCTTCGTGGCTGGATTTGGAATGTACCTGAGTGCCACTTCAGCTGCTGCTGCCAGTGAGGGTCCAAATCTGGCGTGGCCAGAGGGCCAGGTGTGGAAGTCGGGCAAGCCAGGAGGCTGGCGGGCAGCGCTGAAGAGCCTTTCAAGTGCTGCTGTGATCAGGAGAGCTTTTCAGGCATGCTGTTAAGTCGCTTAACATTTTCACTCTGCATATTTGTAAGCTCATGGATAAAGGCAGGTCAGAGAGCTTGAAACTGAGAGCTACGAGCGCTGATGCTTACTTTTACTCTTTCATTCTTCTCCAGCTGTCAACACCACTCCCAGCAGCTGGAGCCTGGACAGTGGGAAAGAAGCCAGGAACACATCAGAAAGTGGAAAGCTCATATCTCCCCCTGTGCCACCGAGACCTGCACAGACTGGTGAGTGTGTGGAGCTTTCAGACTAAGCTCAAGGTTTCTGGAAAAAAAAAAAAAAAAAAAAAAAAAAAAAAGAATTTACATGAGCGCTTTGGTTCTTTCCACTCCGATTAACCTGCCCAAGAAGCTAAAGGTTAATTTATTAATTGATTATCTACATGGAAGGCTGTAGAACTGTGGGTGTTTTCATATCGTTAATGATGTCTGTAGCATTCGGTTTCCAATACTTTGCCTCTTCACTTAATGACTAGTTTCAAACAGTTTGTGTTGCACTAAAAGGATGTTGGAATTTAATCTTGTGATCTTACAATGATTAGAGGGTGGCAGTCAGAAATTAGATAAAAAGAATCTTACTGGGAATTGAATGCACAGCAGTCATGGATGGGCATGAGTGCTGTTAGTGTAAGCAATTTGCCCTTCAAAAGAGTAATTTCTGTTTAAAGGAAAGGCTGCTTAAGTGGTAATATAAATACAATTGTTCTTAAGAAACTGCAGTCGCTTTGTGTTTAGCATTATGCACCAGAGTATGTCAAGGAGTATTTACAGCATGTCTACAGGTTTTGTTACAACTGGAAACATTTGGTGTAAGTAGATGTATTGTGGTTTGGGTTTTTTTTTTTTTCTTGTTTGACATATAAGTACAGGATATATTCTTAGAAAAAGAAGAAAAACAAAAAGAAAAGGGCAAAGTGTATGATACTGACCTTTTTGAATCCTGTTAGCAATTGATAGGATATAAAGCACTTTACAGTGATACAAAATTTGTCAGAGAAGATGGATGCAGAAATGTCTTATGGTGTATTGGTTCTGGAAGATAGCCTTGAAAACAAAATAAAACAAAATCTTTAAAACCTTTAGAGCCATTGATCAACTACATAGAGAAAGCCAGGGATAACGCTGGGTGTAGAATGATCTCTAAGATTTAGTGAGAACCTTAATGTGAAGAGTGCACTGAAATCTTTCTGCCTTTACAGCATCACCAGCAAGACACATAGCCTCCATTTCCCCTTCTCCTGCTGGCAGATCTCCAATGAAGGTACTGTCTTATTGCAGTGAATCTCCCTTGTTCATGTTGTGGGGTGGATTGTATATATTTGATATGTTGTGTGGGATTTTTTTATTATTATTATCATCATATGCCTGTGTAATCCATTCACAAGAGTAAGTAGCCATAACAACTGCAGATTGAAGAGTTTCAAAACTGCAGCCAAGAACCAGATTTTGATCTTCAAACTCCTTAACTTCTTAAAATTAGACTTTTTACCCAACATGGATAATCAAGCCCATCTGAGTCGTGGAAAGAAAGGAACACAAGAAATAAACATAGGAAACATCAAGTGGTCCATCCACCCCAGAGGCTCCAGTAGTGGCAAAAAGAGATGCTAATGAAGGAAAGCGGGTACACAGCCCATTCCTCTCATCCCTCAACATGCAGAGCTCTTGGAGCAGGGGTGTTAGGTGGTTATCCCTGCTGTATTCATTTTTGTATCCAGTGCTTCTGCAGAGCAGTCTGGGGAGGTTGTGTAGGCAGGTGGAAACAGTCTGGAGCTTACATTAAGCACAGGTAAGCTACATTAAGCACAGGCCGGGAGTAAACACTTGTTCTCCCTGACAGGCATCCCCTGCACAGCAGGGGATCCTGGCTGTGCAGTCCTCCTCTGAGGAGAGCTGCTAAACTGAGCAGGGTAAAGGTATCTGCAGGTGTTGGTACCTGCTCGTTGCTCAACAGCCTCTTGGTTGGAAACCTTGAGAAGGCAGCGTGAGTCATCTTGCAGCATGGGACCCAGGATCCCAGAGCTTGTGTATTCCAGGAAAACCCCGGAGGAGCGAAGCGAAGCCCCACGGTGCCTCCTTTCCCCTGGAGGTCCCTAATCACAAGTCTAACCTCTCCCCTTGGTCACCCCATGAGGCTGCAGTTCCCCGCACGGCTGCCCCATGGTCCCAGTGCAGCTGAGGGGACTGTGCTGCTCGGGGTGCTCTGAACTCCCCGTGCTTCCTCACACTGTCCTGGGCCTGAGCTCGGCACCACTCTAGCACCAACTGCTTCCCAGGGAGCTCTTCAGAGCAGCAGGATCCAAAATCGAGCAGGTTTTCCCGTGTTCCTGAATTGACTTGGTGCTCATGATCCTTGGGGCCATTTCAGGCTTGTCATAACATTTTCCTCTGAAGACCTGCATGGAATTTAAGCATTTTTCCAGCCAACCTGTATATTGCCACAGAGCAATATACACCCTTTACTTGGGAAAGGTGGTGCTGGCACAGAATACTTTGGAGGATTGTTGGATCTCACTTTGAGCATCTTTGAATTTCCAGACTCTTTTGGTGTCTAGACTGTTAATCATGACTGCTGCAAGCAGTCTGTATGGCTGTCAGGGACTAAGTGCTTATCCCCACTCAGCCCCTGAATTCAAACAGGCAGGATTTACACATATTTGCTCTTGTTTTGAGTGAGAGAAGCAAAGCTCCTAAATCCCATCTATAGCCCCTTGGATCAAGCGCCAAGTGTTCTTGGAACTTGAACCAATTACATCATTAATTTGAAAACTTTGACCTCAGAAGTTTGCATAGATGAGACTGGCAGCAGCTTCCTGAAACAGAACCTGAAGCGAGTAGCTGAGCAGGACTCCCACTATGTACAAAACATCTGCAACACATAATGGCAGTTAAAGAGAGTTTGCCGTGCTTTTCCCTAGCCACACACAGAGAGCAATTTTTATCTTTTGTTCCAACTGTTACCCACTGCCAGAGAAACCACCCAAATACAAAACCCACTGATGTAAATTAAAATCTTGCCATTGCTTTGAGTGTGCTGTGGATGCAGTCCTACATGGATAATTGAGTTTATCTCAGCAGAACAAAGTCAGCACAATCAGGTCCCTGTGCCCCTCTCCTATCTCCCTACCCTTTGCTGCATGGCTCACACTCTCACCAAAGCTGAGCAGCGGAGAACCAGCTAGTGTAATTGGGTCCGAAGCATGCCTGTAAGCCATGATTTCTCCATCCCTTGTGTCTAGATTGACACTGTTTTATGCAAAATTGGTCATGTTGCAAAACTGCTTCAGCTTTTTTCCTAACCTGGCAGTTTTCAGCTAGGTTCAGCTGAAGACCAGCTTCACTAGACCAGGGCTTCTGGCACTTTCCGGCAGGGCTTCCCGTTCTCTGTCAGCACTCTCGGTGCTGCTTGGACGTTTAGCTCTCTCCCTGGCCACCCCACAGAGACCTGCAAGGCTCCTGGTGTGGCAGCTTTGGCCACTTGCCCTGACCCCTGGTCTGATGTTGCTTTGCATCTTGTGCAGCGTGTCCAGAAACCAATAGAGAGATGGTGGGGAGAGAGGGCAAAGGAGATAGGCTTCCAAATGCCTTCTGCAGCAGCAGGGAGTTCCTTCCCTCCTGTGCTCCTGCTGCCACCGCTTCACGGCCATGCCTGTAATCGCGAGCAGAGCTGAGACCCGGCTCCCGCAGAGGCACCTGCTCTGCACCTCGCCTACGGCACTTGTGCATGCCACACATGGAAACGGTGCCACTGCCCAAACGCACTCTTTGCTGCAAGCCTGTGCACTAAAATTGTGAGGAAAACCTGGGAAATGATTTTTACAGGAGAGCAGCAGTGTGGGAAGCACTGGATGCGGTGCGAGTGCTGTGTTCCGGCGTTAGGGGGCAGGGCGCTCCTAGCTATGCGCGCAGCGTGGCGGCCCTTTTCTGTGGAGAGCTGGGAACGCTAAGGTGCGCTCCTGCTCCTTAAAACACTCGCGGATTTTTCTGGAGTATGACAACGGAGAGATAACATTTAAGTAAAGTTTTGCTTCCACTTTAAGTTAGTGGTATGAAGCACTGTTTTTAAGGTATGCTTAGGTGCTCTAGAAATGAGCTTTTTATTGGTCTTAATTGGATCTTAATGAGAACTGCATTTTAATTAAAGAGATTTGTATACGTGTATCTTGGTTTATATTTATTAACTGCTTCAGCATCTGTGCAAACATGGTATTTTTAGTGTGAGACAAAGAAATGCTAATGCCCAGTTCCCCACTCTGGGTGCCTCCCACTGATGCGCTTTTCCCCTGGCAGGGCTCTGTGCAGTCGTTCACTCCATCTCCTGTCGAATATCACTCCTCGGGGCTCGTATCCCACTCCCCGGCGCTGTCGGGCAGTTACAGCAGCGGCATCTCCTCGCTTAGCCGCTGCAGCACGTCGGAAACGTCGGGCTTCGAGAGCCAAGGCAGCGAGCAGGCGGGCACTGCGCCCAACCACAGCGCCGCCGAGGAGCCCGTGAGGAAGGAGAGCAAAA